GTTGAGCTACGGAATGCCGTAGATTACTCACCAGAGGATGCTGGGCCCAGGAAAAAGAGGCCCAGGCATCAGATGGCCCAACAGGGCAATAGGTAAAGCAGTTCACTGCAGGCGCTGTAAGTGTGAAACATAGTTACAATAGTAGAAGTAGTGTTGGGTAGTGATTGTATTAAATTAGTAAGCTGCCCATACTCGCAGATAGCTAGTATGGAGATAATGTGATGTAAGGGCATACGAATGCCAGAGCTAGACCATTCTTACATGGAAAGTTTCAAAGGAGAACTCCCGAAAACTTGAAGTCAAAAACGGGGGTTTTTAGTCGGTAGAAATCCAACACTACCCAGTGTCACGGGACACTGGGTGTCTTCGAGAAGATTCTCATTCTCCAGCCGCCGCCGGGCAAACAACAAAAAAAATAAGGCGAGGGAGTGAAGTGACAGCAGCGAGCGGGTGCAGAAGAGGTTAAACCCCGCGAGTCGGAAGACCGAGTTTTCCGTTTATTATTGTTATTGTTTGTAAAGTTGACGGTAATTTTGAAGTTAGTTTGTTCCTGTTCCGCATTTAAAGTTACACCGAGTTAATAAAAGTTGGAAGCTGAAGAAAGAGCTTGATAGCCGGCCATCCACGGTACAATATATACAGTATAATTTTATTGGGTGTATAAATGTTCTCGTACATAGTATGTTTATAGAAATGTTTTATTTTTACGAACTACTCTGTAAAGTAAAGGAATATTCGTAAAAATTTTAATATGGATAAACGAACACATACTGAGATTAATAAAAACATGTATGCAATAAAGTTTTGATTATTATTTACTAAAAATTACAAGGGACTATTGGTGGGAGAATGTAGATAAAGAAGAAAATGGTACTATTGTCTAAAATACGCACTTTATTAATTTGTACTTTACGCATGCTTATTGGTAGTGGTCCTTTGAAAATTGTAAACTTATTTTTTATAACTCCAATAATTCTCTGTGCATGAATTCTTACATGTGCAATATGTCGCGTTTCTCCAATTTCCAACGCATGCAACTGACGTTTTCCTTTTGTAAATGCAAAAATTACTAGTTTTGCCCCGATAATAACTAATGACTCACTAGTTTTTTTTTAATACGGTTTAAAAAATATCGTAGATTTACCATCTGCTTATCTGAAGTTCGACCACCCCAACCCTTACTTATATAACTAACGGTTCATTGAGGAAATGACGCTGTCTCTTAAACAAATTTTAGTCTATTGAAGTCATTAATAAAGTCACTTTGAAACAATCCAAAAAGGTTTTTCAAATCACTGAGAATTTTTGTATTGTATACGCAAACAAATGGACCTAACGGAAGTTACTTTGTTCGCCATCCAGTCGCCATTTTGAATATGTTTGGCAGGTCGTTGGATTGCCTAATTGTTGTGACGCTGGAGACATTCCAGGTTAGGACTTATATTATTATAGTGTGATGTTCGAGAACATTCTCCGTCTGACTAGAAGCCTTGGTATATGGATTATAAATACTTGGCTCCGTAGCGGGCTAAATTTGTTGCATGCGACTTTCCGAGATGGTCGACAATCTCTGGCTAATTTATAATTTCCCAGATATTTTTCAACTGTTTGCCTCCATATGTTAAGTAAAGGCTTAGCGGGTTTTGGTTTCCACATGCAAACCAGTTTTGATTTTACATTAACCGATGGTGGTTGCGTGGCGAATTGCAAATCTCCGAATATGATGAGTTTCTCAAAAAAATATCAAAAATAGTAGAAACTCCAGAAAATAGACGATATCATCTGATTGCAACAGATTTGCTTTACTCAACCTGTACAACCAGTTGAAGAGTTTCAAGCTTCAAGATATACTCTTATCAATCGAGTATACCTTTATCTCTCAAATCACGAAACAAACGAGGACTTCCTTCATTCAAAGGCGGAGTACATTCCTTGATTTTTTCAATGTGTTTCTGAGATAGAATTTTTCTCTTTAATCGTGCTAAAATAACATGTAATTATATAAATCACCGGTTCTTATCAGAGTTCAGTTATATTACTCACGTCTGGGTTCAGCTTCCACCACAGATTCGAGAAAGTCCTGTGGGGTCATATACAGTTGTCCATCGTATTCGACGGAAGCAAATCGAATAAATCTCTTTTCCCTGGATGTTAATTTAACTATTTCGGCTGTTTCCTTCTCCTTTAAATAAAAATTAAATATTCTAAAACATCTTTTAAAACCCAAAAATATTGAAATCAAATAGAAGAACTTTCAACTAATAATAGTAGAGATGAGGAAGCATTGACCGTTACGTCACGTCTTCGCGTTTGCCTGATTATAAAGACTGACCGCAGTCATCACAGAACGTGGAGAATCAGAATAAGAATTGGAGTTAAAATGCATGGGTGTTTGAGATTATGATGAGATGAGAAAGAAAAATAAGAGAATTTTGCACTGTAGCTATAGAATTCGAGAACCATCTGGGTTACCTGGCGCGCCCTAAGTATCGACCAGGAGAACCAAAGAGCAGTCGTGTGACTGCTGTTATCGAGTTGAAAGAAGTTTGTTTAAGTAAATCCTTAGTTTGATATTGTTTGTTAACAGTTTGATTTTACTGTTGGTCTGTTCCAGTTTCATACTTAATGGGCTTTTCGCAGAGTTATTCTGTTCATTGATGGTCAGCTAACCGTTCTACCATTTTTTTTTCGATTTTAATTTTTTTAGTAGGAAATTATTGACAGTCTAACTTTCAATTTATATTTAGCACAACAAAACGACGCCAGCCACTTACTGGATGGTCAGCAAATAATCTCAGGCGCATTAATCAGTGCAAAAAGTCCCAAAAACTTGGCCAGACCATGTCCAATTGTGGGCCAAAGCCCGATTGTCGTAAGTGTACCCAAGGAGACTTGCAGAATGCAAAAATCTGCAAGACATCCCGTAGAATGGCCTTCAAAATGACCTGGCAAGCTGCTTTCCTTGCTCCAAAAACGCAAATTTGGCTGTCCCCAAAAAAAGGAAAAAGCTAAGCAAGCCATCTTTCAGAACAAAGTTTCATCCAGCATCTCTTTCGCAGCCAAAGCTGCCCAAAACTCATAACTTCTTAAAACAGTGGCCGCTCAAAGCACCCCAGCACCAAAAGCCCCCCGCCAAACTCCACCGATTGTTTAAGAATAAACCGTTTATTCCTGTTTATTCTGACGTATTGCGTATAAACGTATTCGGCGATTGCTTCCAAACCCATCAATGGAGAACTTGAACATTTTTTTTATTTCTTTAATATATTTGCCTATCTAAAGAAATGGCGCATACCAAATACCTGCCCTCAAATCGCAATATTTAAGTTGCAGTAAACAATTAAAATTGTGACCGCAAGCTATTCATTTGAAACGACACTAAACGCGCGGAAATGGTCGTGACGTCATATCGCTGATCGTTCGATCGAAAGGCAATACAGAAATACGGCTTGTCGTTAAATTATCAGGATGTTTGAATGTTCAGAATTTCCGCTGAGCTTTATTAATAATGGAAGCAACACAAAAACAATATTACAAATGCTGTATGGTGGTACTGTGTCCTAGTACAACTTTTAAAACACCAGAAAAGCTATTTATTCGTGTACCACGAGCTAAAAGCCGGCGTTTAAAACGATTAAAGGGTAAAGGTATACAAGGATATTTCTAAGAAGGCAACTGTCCATGTATGTTAAAATAATTTTATTGCAAGTATAAAAAACAGACTTGATTTTGTCTATTGTATAACAGATAAATACTGTAAATCTGTATTTTGTTTGCTTCTCGGCTGCATTATAGTAGTAATTAATCACCTCAAAAATAACTAATTATATATACTATATACGTCTATACTAGAGGATAAAAAGAAACAACAAGTATCTGCAAAGAAAAAATCTCGTTTTATCGTCGTGCATTTACGTTAAATACCTACTATTTTTGTCATGCAATATGAATATTAACACATATTTTTATGTAACTTTAAT